GGCGGGGTGGAGAGCCTCCGGTGTGGGGAGCCGGTAAAGCTTCGGCTTTCGCATGTGCGGAGCCTCTGGAAGGACGTCGGATCTGCTCGATGGGCAGCTTGGGAAGGCACCCTTGCTCCTGCCAAGGCAGGGTGCCCGTCAGGAGTAGGAGGGCCGGTGGCCGGCCTCAGGAGGAGACAAGGCGAGCGCTCCTTACCTGGCACCGTGATCTCCTGGTTCCCCTTCTCTGGGCTGAGCCAGAACCAGCATGGTTTGGGCCCTACGCTTGGGCTCGAGCGCTGGGATGGGATGTTTCGGTAGGGAAGTGCTCCTTTTTCCTCTGTGTTTTCTAGTAATTCCTTTCTTTTCTCCCTAGCTCTGAAAAGGCTGCGTGAAGCTGCCAATAGCAACGACTTGGACACGGGTAAGACTTCTGCCAATCCTGCTCGGGACCTCTTCCTGGAAGAGCAATTTTGTCAAGGACCTTTATTTTAGGAGAGGAAGAGGAGGAGGGTGCGGATAGTTTGCGGACATGGTGCTTTAGGTGCTGCAAATCTAGAAACTGCTTTTCTGGAGCCGTGTTTCGTTCTCTGAGCAGAGCAAGGCTGGTTATCGTATTCACTGCCTCACACTAAATCAGAACTGCACTGTTCCAGCTTTCTTGGTATGTAACTTGCCCAACTGTAAGCAGCAAGAGAGTAGTGTTTTGGTAAGGTGGAAAAGTTATTATCTAAGCCATATCCTGTATGATGAGACAGTGTGACCCAGTAGATCAGAACTGGGTCTAGAGCAGAACTCTGCCTCTCACAGTGACTTCAGAGAAGGCTCGTAGACTAACTGTGACTCCCTTTACCTCTCTGTACTGCAGATTAAGTGGAGTTTGTTATGAAGTGTACAAACCAGCAGCAGTATGGTTTGTATTATCTGCCTGTTATCATTCTCCCACCTTAGACTATACTGTCCCCTCAGCTGTGCTGGCCTAACTGTTCATCGGACTATTTTGTGAACAGAATTGAAAACTGGTTTGACTTGTAGACGCTCCCAGTGTATCAGAACAGGGGTTTATCTGGTTTGCTTCACCCTTTGGCTCCACAATACACCTTGTTTCATGAACTGATGGATAAAGTTCATCCATGAGCTCTGTCAGTACAGAAAGGCTTGGCTTCAGTTACCAAGTCAAGAGGAAGAATGAAAGAATCAAGCTTTATGAAAGTCTTGGTTTCAATCCATCTTGGAATTTTACACCTGTATTTGATACACAAGTTCCCCTGTTTACAGTCCTGCTGTGTTTTGTGTACTCTGCAACTTGAGGAAATGTCTGGTGATGAATTTATTCTTCTTCAACAAGTAAAAATCTTTGCTGTTTCCTGTGGTGGCACTGGGTGGGAGAAGTTATATCATTTGCCCCTGCCTTCAGGGAAGGACTAGGTACAGCGTTCCCCATTAATAGTTCTCACTGCTGGCACTGTCAGTCTCCCTGTCTCTGGAGTATCAAACATCCCCTGTTAATGCCACTTCCGTCTTTTCAGGTGTTCCTTTCACTTCTGTACCACACTTAAAGCAGTAGGTGTACAGGGAGAAATTCAAATGTGACTATAATTCGATCTCTGGAAGCTGAGATGAATGGTGACTTTCAGTGGTCTGAGCTATCTAGTTTCTTGTCTCCAATACCGGTCAGTCTTGCCTGTTGCAGGATATGCTATTAAAGATCTCAAAATATAGCGAATCTGTTGGTATTTTTAACAGCTATGGAATGGGCTTTATTTTACACACTGATACTATGTCAGTATAACCTCAAAGCAACAAGAGTAATAGCCCTTACAATTGCCCTTACACCTGCTACTGTAGATGCTACTTTTATGTCCCTAATCTTTTCAGACTTTACTGGTCTCTTTGCCTTTGTTATACCCAATACTGGAGAGTCATACTAGTTTCTCTGTCTTTCTGTGTGAGCAGGTTTCTCCTCCTTATCTGAGAAAAGGAGGTAGTTCAGGTTACAAGAAGTGCCAGCGGTGGCATTGAAGAAGTAGCTGGGTGGAAAAGCAAGTCTTAGTAGATGATGGGATGGCTGCTCGGGCTGTTCACTAGCTCACTTCAATACATCATCTCCTAAGAGCATATTTGCAGTGCTGTTGGCGGGTTGGTGCACTCACCTTCCTGCTTCCCAAGCAGTAGCCACCATTAGTATGGCAAAAACTGGGAGTTTTAGATGAATCTAGGAAGGGGCGTATTCCAAACAGGTGTGAAGAGGTGGCTTTTCTCATTGCGTGTGGTTACGCTGTGAAACTTCTCGCCATGGGTCCAGATTGATGTGAAAAGTTTACGCAGATGCAGAAAATGACCACGCAAATCTACAGAGAAAGCCCATGGAGGGATAGATCATAAGCACAGGATGCTAATTCTAGCTTGGGAAGTGCCTCAGGTGCAGCTTGACTAAAAGCTGTGGGAGACAGCCCCACATCTGTGCTATCTTTTTATACTCTTCTCTAGGTATTTGCTGCAGGTTGTCCCTGGAGCTTGAAAATTTGGCTAGATGGATCGTTAGGCTTAGCCATTACAGCTGTCGGCTACGTGGAAGGTGGTGAAGGCTGTAACAGAGGGTGGAGGGTACGCTGCCTAGGCTAGTTCTGCTGAGCTGGGATGCTGGCTGGAGCTCGTTCAAGTCCAGTTGATTTGGCATCTGGCAGAGCGTGTATGTACTCGCAAGGTGAGCGGATAGCATGACCCCTTTCTGATCAGGTACCCTTTCAGCTTACCTGCTTTCTTCTTCTCCTTGGCATCTGGCAGAGCGTGTATGTACTCGCCAGATGAGCGGATAGCATGACCCCTTTCTGATCAGGTGCCCTTTCAGCTTACCTGCTTTCTTCTCCTTGGCACTGTCAGTGCAGCAACTTTTGGAGGATGGAACTGACCCCTGTGCCGCAGATGACAAAGGCCGGACAGCCCTGCACTTTGCTTCCTGCAATGGCAACGATCACATTGGTGAGTGGGGAGCGGGAGTTCTGTCTTCTGGCCTCTCTGTGGCAGAGATTTCAAAGGCTACTCTTTATTTTGATTCGGCACTCGACAGAGATTGCTGTTTTCCATGTGTTTTGTGGCAAAGTTGACAGCTGAACTCTGGCTCCAGGGCTTGCCATGTCCCCCTGCTGAAGGGGGAGCAGGAGCTCCCAGCTCTAGGGCTGTACTGGTGCAGAAGGAAGGGTGTCCTTAGTCCTAGTTCTTCCCCTGAGGGAGCCCAGGAGCAGTGGCACTGCCTGGCTTTGTGCTGGGTCCTTCTGCATTGCTGCACAAACCTCTGTCCCCTGTCTCTGGGAGGAACCTGATGAGCTGAACAGAAGCATCTGTAAGGCAGCCTGGTAGCTGCCGCGTGGACCTGCGGTCCGTGGGGACCTGACCTCTTGGGCAAAGCGAAGGGACTCATGTGACTCTTTCCTTGTTTCCAGTGCAACTGCTTCTGGACCATGGGGCTGACCCAAACCAGAGAGATGGGCTGGGAAACACCCCCTTACACTTGGGTAAGTGCCATACAGATGAGCTTTGCATGCAGAGAGGTGAGGTGAACACCACCTTGCTGTTTCTTTCCTTCCCACCTTCCTCTTTCCTGTGCATCGCAGTATGCATCCCTAGTTTTAAGGACCTAGGAGGGACTCTTTGCATTTCACTAGCTTCACTCCTCACAAAGGTTTAAGGGTCAGAGTTTGAGAAAATCAATTTTTCCTTCCCTCTGCCAACCCCAAGGAGTGCAAGCTCTGTTCCAGAGAGAGTACTCAGGCTTGAGTGTGAGGTGACCCTTAGCACTTGGGCTATTCCTCTTTCCCATGGCAAAGGGCCCTTTTGGAAGCAGCAAGCTCCACTCTTGAGCAGAGACTCCTTTGTTGTTTGCTAGTACCTCTGAGTTGTGTGTCCTGTGTTTTCCCTCCCCAGCTGCCTGCACGAATCACGTTCCTGTCATCACCACGCTGCTGCGCGGAGGTAACACTTCATCTATAAGAATTACAGCCTGTCCCTTTCCTGCCGTGCCCCTGTTGGTACTCCCTAGAAACACTTAAGTCTTGAAGACAGGTCTCACTTTCTGTCCTTGCTCATGTACCTTGCAGGGGCCAGAGTTGATGCCCTGGATCGAGCTGGCAGAACCCCACTGCACCTAGCTAAATCAAAGCTAAACATCCTGCAGGAAGGACTCTCCCACAGCCTGGAGGCTGTACGCCTTGAAGTGAAACAGGTAAAAGCAGCAGTCCCATGTTCTGGTAAAGTGGTGCAGCCCCGGGCAGTCTCCTCCACCCTTTTTTTTAAATACCTGTTTGTAGGCTCTTAGCTGCTATGAGGAGAGTTTGATTTTTATTTTTTTTCCTTCTGTTTTCAGAGACCTTTTTTTTCCAACCGCTGCTCTGAATTTTTGCAGGACCTCTCTTGGCTCTGGTAGGCCAAGGATGCGTTGAATGTCTTAATTCTCAGGCTGTATGGAGCACTCTCTTTTCTTCAACCGTTGTGTAAGACAGATGCCTTGTGACAGGAGAGGGACGACAGCATGGGGCTGTAGCTATGCCGTATGCATGCAGGGATTCTGCATTCCTAGCACAGCCTGCCCTGCTTTTATGTGTGGAGGCGTGGAGTAGGAAAGCAGTGACGGGGCTACATCACAAATACACGAGGCGTGGGCCTCGCTTCAGGAGCCATATAGGAACCACGAGGATTTTCATTCTCAGCACACAAGCGGATCGTGCTGGAGTGGGAAGTCTGTGCTCCTCACAGTGAGGGAAGCTAGCGATAGGGAAAAGCTTGGTGCTTTCAGGGCTAGACCTTATGCTTCTTCAGCTGGGCCCATCTCTCTTCCCTGGTCTTAAATTAGGCATAGAGATCACCACTAGTCCATCTGTGGCTGATCCACACCTCTGGTGACTCACTGGGCTCTGATGCTGCCATTAGTGCTCTTCAGTTGCTTTGCGTGTGTTCTTCTCTATGGGTCGTGTACTCTGCCACGTACCGCAGCGTCAGGGCTGTGCTTGGCAATTTAACTGCAATTTAATTTGTCCTGTCAAAACATTCCAGCCTGGTGCAACTGTCTGATGTTTGTCTCTTATGCCCATTCGTTTCAGATTATCCAGATGTTGCGGGAATACCTGGAGCGTCTAGGGAGGCACGAGCAAAAGGAACAGCTGGATGACCTTTGCTCCAGGTTACAGATGACTAGCACAAAGGAGCAGGTAGGCAGTGTTGAGCGACTGTGGCTCACCTACTTGTGTCATGACTGCTGCGTTCAGGAGAACGCAACTGTGTGAGCAAGGTGACGTTGAAGACAGGGTTATGGAAGTGTTCTTGCTTATATTGGGTAAAGTGGGCAAGTTATGTGATGACTCGTGATACTCCTTTACGTTGGAATTCAAAATGCAGAGAGCATCACTGTGCCTAGCAGCTCAGCAGAGAAGCTGAAGATCAGATGGGCTGAGGGCACAGGCATTTTAAGGCCAGGAACAGCACAACCACACAGGGTTGCAGGGCCTTTTTTATTTTTTTTTTTTTTTTTTTTTTTCCCCTACAAAAGATTGGCCCTTAGAAACAGGCTTAGAAGAAACAGCCCTGGTGCTGTTGTTGAGTTCTGGGTAGCGCAGCAACATGCTTTATTTTAAGGACTGGTTAAATCGCACAAGGTGGAGGTCGAGCATTGACCTCCTAAGGAATGGGAAGAAGCTCCTATTGCCTTAAATTAGGACTTGTTTGATTATGAGGACAGGAGCCCTTCTACATGATTGTGGGACCGAAGAGATCCTGTCCTAGTGCAAGCTCAGCATGGGCATTACTGGCAGTCCTGGTGCAAGGGTGGTCCCGGTGCCTGGGGGTTTCTTCTGTGGTGGTGGGAGACTGCACAACTGCATTCCCCTGCCTAACAGCCAGCTCTGTTCTTTTGGCAGGTGGACGAGGTTACAGACCTCCTGGCCAGCTTCACATCGCTCAGCCTGCAGATGCAGAAGATGGAGAAGAGGTAATGCGGCTTCCAAATCATCTTCCTGATGCAGCAGGAGAAGCCCTTAGAGAGGAAAAAGAGGAAGCTGAAGCTTGCTTCCCAGATCACTGAATAAACATTGCTGCCAGCAGCTGTTCCTGCCAGATCTGCTCTCCGGTGGTACTCGGACTGTTCCTGTTGGTGCTGCCACAACTGCCTCATGGGGAGGCAGCCGGCTTTGGACAACAGAGTGCTGCAGCTGAGACTTCTGGAAAAAAAGAGCTGCTCTTGTTTTTATCAGATGGGCTGGCGCTGTGTAGGATACCCCTTCCAGAGATATTTTGCCTTCTCCTCAGCACTTCAGCTCATTGTAGGTAGTGGCTGATGCCCTGACTAGTGCACTCAGCAGCTGCCCAACATCACAGAAATGTTTGGAACAGACACATTTTTCCACCTCCACAGTACTCTGTTGCATGGAGGAGAAAGTGGATGCCTCGGAACAACAGAAGGCTTTGTGCTGTGAGAAGAACACACGCTTAATTCTGCATGCTAGCAGCTGAGCAAACATACTGCCTTGAGAAACACGTACCGAGGCTTAATCCTAACCTTCCCCAGAGCCTGCGGTCAGAGGGCAGAGAATCTGTCTGGTTACAAATGGGATTCAAAGCTTTTAATCACTAGACTAACAGCTTTCACTGGGCCTAGTTTTTAAATCATTGCCGCAAGTTAGTGCTTAAATACTACAGTGAAACACTTGCAAAAGATACCGAGGTAGACTAGTGCAGTTTTAGGCAGACATCTACATCTTGAAAAAAAACCAACCAACCAAAAAAAAAAAACCCACCATAACTGACTTTTTTGTGTTTCTTATTACTAGCAGTCTCAGGCAAGAGGTCCAGTTGCAACAGGAGGTGTTGTGTGTTCAGCCATGTTACTGGGCTGGGATGGAGGGGGATTTACAGCTGCCTCAGCAGCACCAAAGCCAGAGCTGATCCATGCTGTATTTCTTCCTTGTCATGAAGTGGTGCCCCAGGACCTTAAGTTCAGTGTGAGGAACGAGTTATGACCTCTGCTGGGAGCCTGAAGTGATGCAGCTATGAAGGATGCAGGGAATTGCCCTTGCTAATCTCTTGCTTCTGCCCAGCTGTGGTTAGTAATGAAGATGTAGATAGCTTTGTTTTGGAGCAGGGATCCATAAATCTTGTCGGTAGGGTGTGAAGAGCAGCAGAGAGACAAGAACACGTGCAATAGCAATCGGAATTCCCGCCTGAGTACTACACCTAAATGACACGGTGTGCTGGTAGCGATACCCATCCCACAGCTTGGGAATCGCTGGTCTGGAAGTGTTCGATTTTAGGATTCAGCTTAACCATGCAACAGCCACAGTCTGGAGCATTCTTCAGAGACCTTCAGGTCAGCGTGTTCTCTAATATCTGGCCTCTTGGCTGTCCATGTTCAAAACTGAGATACCAGAAATACGCATGACTTTTAGATGGGTTCGTCTGTGAGGTGCTGGAGGCCATGGCTGGGAGTAACGGTCTTGTGGTTTGGCTGGAGCTGTCACTGTGAATACTGATACTTTGTTAGGATATGCTGGATGGGAAGGATACCGAGGGGGTGGGAGACAAGCTGACCTTTTTGTAATTTTGAACTTCAATAAAATCCTGTCAGCCTTTTCAGACTCCTCAGCCAAGTTCTCTGTCTTTCAGAGCAGCTCATTTCTCTTTCTTTACATGTGTTCCAGGCCCCATACACAGCATTGGACTTGGTAACTGCTGCTCTCGTACTTGGTACTGATATCGGAAGCGACAACACAAAGTTGTTTGAATTCAAGCACTGGTCTGTTTGCAGATCAAAGTACACGGTTGCTGACTCACCTTCTGATCTTGACTCCCACAGCCAAAAAATCCAAACTTTAAATCTAGTTAGTTGATGTGAAACCGTACAAATAGAGGAAAGAGAATCTCAGCGGGATTGCTTCAAGCTGGAGGATGGGATGTTTTGCAAGGAGGAAAAGCAGCCTTGTGCAGTCTACGCTCCTGCAAAAGATGGAGAAGATGGCTGAATGTGTGCCTTGCCCTATGCCAGGTAAAATGGCTGTGCTGTGAAGACACAGCAAGGGGGTGAGGAGCTGGGGAGGGACATCTGGGCAGGGCACAGAATTTCCAGGGTGGTCTCCATGTGAGGAGCAGGTGACCTTCGTGTCCAGTCTTTACTTCTGTTGTTTCGTCCCGTCTTCACAGCCTGGTCTTGATGTCCATGTACACTCAGTTGTCAAGGCTTCTGCACTCAACAGCCTTGTTGCTGAGGAGATCATTAAGGTGCCTAAAAAGCAGGCAGCTGAAATGCTCTTTATTGCTGCGGTTACCTTAGTTGCTGATGTTGTGTGCTAACTAGGCACAGCTTAGAAGCTTTCCTCAAAACCAGGAATACACCTAGCTGGGACTCAAAGCGAAGCTTTTAGCCTGGCCACGCATGATGATGTTGTTCGCAGCTCTTCAGGCCTTTGTCTTGCTTGGTGCTGGAGTTTTTCATAACTGTTCCTGACTGGATGTTTGGAGGGGAAAGGTGAGGGTGCTGCAGCCAGCCAGGAGCAATTGCCTTGCCTCTTTTGCAGCACTGCTCCCTCCATGGGAGGTAAGGCAGGGCTGGCAGTCCCCTGGAGACTGGCACAATGAACTGAGGCAAATAAAACGAGCAGGCTTATAGGAAGTTTTACCACTGCTTTAGTGATAACACCAGCTAAGAAAGAGAAAAGGGGGTCTGGTTTTCAGTGGGGGGAAAAAAAATACATCATGTAGGAGTCCTATTCTATGAATCACCGCAGTCAGTGATTCGGCTTTCCTGCCTCAGGGCTGAAGCACTGGGCTGCTGAGAGCCGTGTCATGTGTTTGGCACTGGACTGAGAAAAGTTTTAGGTTTCTTTGTGTCAGCTGGTCATACCAAAGCCTTGACTACCCTGCTGTGCTGAGCAGCTGTATCTAGAGAGTTAGGTGCTGGGGAGGGAAAGAAGGAAAGAAAAGGTTCCAGGGGAGGAGGAGAATGTGGCTTCGCACTGTGCCGAGAGCTGTTCACTGGCACTGTCTGTTTTTTCTCCTGCTCCTGGCCTAGAGTCTTTGGCCTTTCCCAGCAGCTTTTCCCCCTGCCCTTGCACCTTGCACTGCAGATTTCCCTGCGTAGCCCATAGGTTTGAGGCTGCTGGCAGAGGTGTCTGCTGCAGTAACGAAGAATGAAGACAACAGCACAGGTTTCCCTCTGCTATTTATTTTGCCATTAAACTCGATCCAGCCTCCTCATTTTCCTTATGCTGCACCATCAAACACACCTTCCAGGTTGCTTTCCTGAGCAGTGGTGCATCCTCTCCTCAGGGCCATGATGTCAACCAGGATTTGACCCAAGGCCTTGCTTCCCCCTCACTGCTGTCTGGCCTCCAAATACATTCCATTTCCCCTCCTCATTCAGAGCACAGCTCTGCAGCGACGTGCTGAATCCCCAGCCACTGAACCCAGCAGCAACCTCCCCATCTTTGCAGCCACTGCCATGCTGTAAGAAGCAACCAAAACCAGCCAGGTTGAGGATCTGGCTCATCCAACGAAGACTGAAAACCTGCTTGCATCTTACTGAGGACCCACAGAAGAAGCAACAGCCCTGAACAAAACCTCCCAACAAAGCTGCATGGATGTCACTAAGCAAAAAGCCTTTTTCTGAAGCGGCCGCTCACCCGTGCAAGCGGATGCAAAGTGCACACTACAGTATGTGCAAACACCAAGAATGTGTTCAACTCTCCAGCAGCTGAAATAATTAAACTCCAGGGTATTGAGCCAACATCTGAACTCCATTACTTCTTCCACCTTTGCCTTTCTAGCAGGCTCCAAATCCATCATTGTAATTATCTGCGCTGCTAAAGAAGCCCCATGAAGCATCTCTGGCAAACCTCACACCCTTTCATCTGCTTCCTCTGCTCATTCTGTGAGCAAGACAGATCTCTTCTCCTCCATTGCAGAAAGGTACTTGCAGAAAGATGCTGCCTTTGGGCACTGTGCCTGGCTAGCGTGGGAGAGCAGCCCTGGGTAGCTCAGGGCCCGTGGGGCGAGTAGGTAGAAGAGCCCACGGTTTTGATTAGGAAGCTGATAGATACAGCAAATAGTGTTCCTCTGTTTTTTTTCCAGAAAGCTCTTGGAGAGGAAGAGAGCGCATGGTTGTTGGAAGAATTAAAACACTCAGCTGCCAACCTGCTAAGGCTGGTCATGGATTAGGAACCAACAGCTAAACCCAAAAGCAAATAAGCAGAATTCCCTATAGCTAGTAGTGCTACGTGCCCTGACCACCCCTGTCAAACTTCTCTGCCTGCGAGCCAGCAAGGCTGTCCTGGCTGCTCGCAGGGTGTCCGTACAAGGTCCTGTTCTCATGAGCGCAAGGGGAAACATGGGCAGCACTTGAGCCTGCTGCTCTGCCAGAGAATTAGGAGCCATCCTCATCACAGCTTTCCATTGCTTCCAGCCCCAGGTGTCTGCAGATAGGGAAACCCCCTGCTCAGGGCTGCCAAATTTGCACACAGGGGTGTAAGCAGGATGAGCTTTTCGGCACCTGGGTCTGATGCCTCCCAGCAGCACGCCAGGGAGATGCCAGGCACCAGAACCAGCACACAGCTGGCAGGACTGAGTTTCTCTCCAGAGGGTTGCTATGCCCAGCTTGCAGGGGAGCTGGTGCTGACCACTAGCCACAAAACCCCGACCTGCTCTCACCATTCCTCTTCCTTCTGCTCCGTGCCAGCTCCCGGCACGGCTGTGCTCAGCCGATGGGGCAAACTGGCCTCTGCAGGGTTAAAGCCGAGCTCATCAGCCCGAGTCATGACACATAGGAAAGAAAATATAAGCAAGGAGTCATTAATTAAGGCAAGAAGCTGGGAGCGGAGACTGCAGAATGCTAATCAGTCTGGAGGGGAGGCTGCGTGGAAAGCAGCAATCAAGCTCCTTCAGCTTTAATTAAACCTGGCTCTATATCAAGGATGTGACACCTTTTCTTCAACTCTGCCTTTGAGCT